CCTCAGTGGGGTCCAGGAAAAACCTAGATCAAGGGCAGGTAACTGTGTGGGGCCACTTTCATCTCCAGATTCCCTATGAGCCTCTCCCCTCCATTACTAAGCCCCAATAACTACATTTTCCTCTGCATTCCCTCTCAAAATGGTGACTGGAAGTGACATTGCATCATCTCCTGTTGTCTTTTTTGAGAGGAAAAGCAGGAGAAAATTGAGCTATTTGGGGATAGCATGGGGTTCTGTGGTGCATGTGGAGACGGGCATTTTCATATGTTTTCATGAATTGGGGGTGTGCGTTTCTGCATGGTTTGGGGTTCAAATTGCTGAATATTGTACCAGTTAAGGCAATTTCAGAGACTGGTGAGGGTTTTTAAAGACCACAAAAGTGGGGTCTAGGGGCTGCATGTACCCATGGGCTGCAATTTGCCCCCCCCCCCAACTTTGGTCCTCCAGGTGTTTTGGACTTCACCTCCCAGAAGCTCCAGCCAGCTTGGCCAGCTGTCAAGAATTCTGAGAGCTGAAGTCCAAAACATCTGGAGGACCAAAATGTGGGAATCACATTTCCAGCTGTTTTTAAAATGTCCCAGTTTCTCTCTCCTTTTTCTACCTTCCCCCTTTGTCCTCAGCTAATGTCAGCTGCTGCATCCTGAGTTAAAAGCACAAAAGTAATTTGCACTCAGCCAGGGGTGGGAAGCAGAGGAGAAGGCTGAACAATACATTCAGGCAAAAGCAAACTGCTGCAGCCTCTTCTAGCTTGTCTGCTCATTCTTCTTCATTAACACCTGGCTTCATGTATCCCAGTTTTCATCTATGAAATATTGCCGGGGGAAGGGGGAAACAAGCCACCTTGGTTGCATTTTACAATCCCCTGCAATCTTAATCCTGCAATCCTGCGCATTTTTTGGATTGGACAGAGAGAGTAAACAAACTGCAGATTGTGTGCCACAGACCTGCAGCTCTCTTTCCCCTCCAAGAATATTAAACCCTGTTGCTTTGCCCTTGTAACGTCTCACCATTTTGAGAAGGAACAAGCATAATGATATATATTTTTAAAAGGCTTCAAATTGTATGTGTTCAAGGAAAGACTTCTGGAGACAGCAACGAGCTTCAAAAAAGCACGCCTGCTTGGGCAAATAATATGGTTAACATGTTTTCTAGGAATATAGAAGTTAGGATTGTTGTTCTTCTCATTATATCCTCTCTGGGACTTGCAATTGCTGCCTAACACAATAAGGCAAGATAATGAGCAGTGATGCCTTCATCGCCAATTCTTTCATCATTATTCATTAATCATTAATTGTTTAATCATTATTTTCAAGAATTAATGAGATCTGGCAAGATACCTATGATTATACCATGTCACAAAAATGTCACCTGGCATCCCTTTTTTAGTCATCATGGATGCTGTGGTCACAGCTTCAAGACTGGGAGTTTCGAGGAAGAAATTTCAGAGGATGGAGAGATGAGAGGGATGTTGCTTAACCCTGTCATTGTTTAATGAAACCCCATCCTGGTTGGACTGTGTTCTATCTCCAAACAGGCAATGTTGGGAAAAGAAGGATTGTTTCTTCTACTCTTCTCCCCCCGCACCAATGTGTTATGAGATGATAAATGTATGGTCCACTTTGGGTTGAGTGATACACAACTAAACTGCTTATCTTTTTAGGAATGATTGGTGGAAATATGAGACGGAGCCTTCTTGGTGTCTGCACCAAGATTTAGGAATTCCCTCTCTAGGGAAGCTATAGTGGCTTTCTCCCTGCTGTCCTTCCATAGCAAATGAAGATTTTTAAAATTCAGGCACATGTTTAGAACTGGAGGCTTCTAGGAAAAGTGCCTAAGAGGGTGTTGTGTTGTTTTAAATGACACTGTCATATCTGCTTAGGGTTGCCACCATTCTGTTCCCCAAAACTGCGACAAAAGTATGGAAGACAGAATTGGGGCCGTTTATTAAAAAAAAACACCATCACCTATCAAAAGCCCCCCCCCCCCCATTTGATATTTAACATTGTATACACTCCGCCCCCTCTATCCATGGATTCAAACAGCCAGGGCTTCAAAATATTCCAAAAATATAAAAATTCCAAAAGCAAACCTTGATTTTGCTGTTTTATATAAGGGACACCATTTGATTGTGCAAGTCTATGGAGATTATCACACTACCTTTAAAATGCATTAAAAAGAGACTTACCTCTCCCAAATTGAAGTAAAATTCAGGCTGCATCTGGATGCTATTGCACAGATTTCCTCCAAAAAATCACCATCAGAATGCAGCCCGAATTCATCCAGGTTGACTTAACTCACTTCAGCAGCCATTTTTCTAAGTCGGAACTAAGTCGATTATCTCCTATATAGTGAGACTTGAGCATCCATGGATTTTGGTATCCATACTTTTCCTGGAACCAACCTCCAGGGGATAAACCAAGGTCCCACTGTATTTCAAGTTGTTGTTTACTTATATATTGCCATCAATTACATTCTGAGATTTGTAGTTTGTTGCTTCAACTGGTCCAGCTGGCGGGGACATTTTTCAAACCCTTCAATCTGGAGTTTTCCTGGTTTTCCAGGACAAATGGTAAACCTATACCCATTTGTAAAATATTTTTAATGTGTATGTTTTCAATAGTTTTAACATGGTTAATAGTTTAATTCTATTTCAATGTTGAGTTTTTGCACGTATTTAATTATACTGTAATCATTTAAATGCATAAGCCACCTTGAGTCCCAGTCTTGTGGGAAAAAGGGGGGGGGTGGAATTAAGAAGAGAAACAGGGAGAAGTAGAAGATGCAGCAGGAGACACCTCTGGATGGAGAGGTCCTTCTCTTGGCCCATTACACAGGCACATCTAATGGGAACATGGGAGAGGGTTTTCTTGGAGGCTGCTCTCAGGCTTTGGAACAGCCTCCCTTGGGATGCAAGGACAGCTATCCCATTCCTATCTTCCAGTAGCAAGTTCAGTTCATACAGATTTTAAGAATTGACTTCAGGAATGTACTCTTCCAGTGATTTCTACCTTTTAACTTTTTAATGGGATTGTTTTTAATGGTTTAATTCAATTGATAGTTTGATTGTGTGTTGTTTTTATGTTTTTTACTTGTAAGCTACCAGGGGTGTTGTCTTCATGAGCCAAGATACTCCAGGAACACTCAGAGTATCCTGGCCCTGGAGCTTCCCAAACCTCTCCCTGTTACCTGGGGTCCTCTGTTGCAATGCCATGTGGCTGTTTGCATGCATGTTCCACAGTGCCACCCAATATGGTGGTAGCAGCTGTGGTGGCGGTAGTGAGCTTCTCACTCTGAGGTCAGAACAAGATGCCCAGCATCGATCACATGGCTGGGCACCTCGTTCTGATCTCAGAGTGAGCAACTAGCCATGGTTACACATGCAGACAGCCATGTGGTGCCACAGTGGAGAGCTCTGGGTCTTCCAGAAAAATCTAGAGCAAATGGTAGATTTTTTAACCTCCATTTTAAGAGGGGTGTAGGATGACACTAGCAAACCCCCTCTGAAGAAACTTGCCAAGAAAATCTTATGATATATGTTCACCCTAAGTTCACCAAAAATGACTTGGAGGCACATAACAACAAATAACCCAGGTTTGGTACTGAACAGGCTGGACATTGCCCAGCTGTTCTCACCAAACTCAGAGGTCAGCTCTGCATTCTCCAGACTCCCCACCCAGAGGACAGGAGGGGCGGATATTTTATTTGGCCCATGCAGACAGGGCTGTAGTTTCGATTGATTAACAAGGTGGTGGTGGTGGTGGTATTGGAGGAAGAGGAAGAGGAGGAGGAGGAGAAGAAAACAACTGGCATTCTGCTTGGGATTTACATTTTCATAAATGGCCTTATACATGCACAATATTTAATGGCATAATTTCACAACATCTGTATTCACCTAGGGGCTGCCATGACCTTATGGTGTATGGGTGTCAATTTCATAATGGTACCCAGTGGAGTGATTGATATGCCATGGCGTGATACACAATGGGCGCTAATGAACTTCCTGATGTGCATCAGGACACTGGCTAGGAAGTACCAAAGCACAACAGGAGCACTCACTGCTCATCAGAGGTTCCCAATGTTCATCAGATATGCCCAATACATTTTGGGGGTGCTCTTGCCCAGATGTACATATTCACAATTCTCTAACAGGGTTTCATTCCATTTCTGCAATGCTCTGCATTTGTAAACTTATGAAACATAGACTGTGATGTAAGATCTCAGCCAACAATCATGATTCACCACCAGCTATGTTCTACGATTTGAGGCAGTCACTTTACCAGGTCATCTCATTGTGCTGCCCCTACAGAGATGGAACTGTCTCCTATCCTGACCCTGGTAGCTTCTGACAAGGCTGAGGACACAGAAGAAGTGGGAATCTGAAAAACCAAAGAAATATAGAAAGCAGGGATGGGGGG